CTTCTGGCTTCAGGAATTTGCTCCCATTCAGGCACAAAATATCAGCGAAGTGAATCCAGTCTAATCATTTCCAACAGAAACTTTTCACTGATGAACTTTTAACAAATGACTTAAAAAGTCTACCTGGAGGTTTTTAGATCTTCATACCTTTGCTATTTTAGCCGGGACACCAAAAATCAGCACACACTTCAAGCCATTATCCACAAGTGGACGCAACATTCCCTCCAGCTTGTTCACTCCATATCTGCAGGTACAAATATAATGACAATCCATCAAGCGGTGCAGCTCCGTAGTTTAGCAAAGTCATATTAAAACATTTTTTGACAGATTGCTGAGCGCTGTGTACCACATAAAATCGGTTCGCAGTCAGTAAGCACAACCAGAATTCATACATAAGGGTATGGGCTCAAAATGTGGTCATAAATATTTTGTATGTGTAAAAAAGATTTGTGTGTGCGTAAAAAAGATTTGCGTGCGCGTAAAAGAGATTTGTGTGTGCGTAAAAAAAGATTTGTGTGTGTGTAAAAAAGATTTGTGTGTGTGTAAAAAAGATTTGCGTGCGCGTAAAAGAGATTTGTGTGTGCGTAAAAAAAGATTTGTGTGTGTGTAAAAAAGATTTGTGTGTGTGTAAAAAAGATTTGTGTGTGTGTAAAAAAAACCCCTGCAAGTTACAAGTACGGATTTTGACCCTATTTTTCTTCCTTTCATCTGATTGGTCAATGTCATGTCAATCACAAATGTAACAATCCAATCAGAGAACAGATGGGTTTGGCTGTCGAGGGGCGCTTTTTTGAACTGCAGGTCCTTGAAGGGTGATACAGTTTGAAGCTGGAGGATCGCTATATAAATATCCGATAGCAGCTAGGTCCCCTAACTTTCAGTAGCTGTTGAAAGGAAAAAGTTGTGGTATATCAGTGGTTAGAAATACCATTATTACTTTAGGATTAGTTTAACACAAAGTCAGGGCTGACCCAGGACCATTGCTGTGAGTCACAGTGCGCAGCATAAAAGTCCTTTCACATCGGATGCAGGATGTGCTGCTAATGCTAATTGCTAACTAAAAGCAAAGGATCCAGAATTTGTTGCTGGCTGCTGGGCTCTGTGGGTTTTTGCAGCAGCTCTACCTGTACTAGATGCACCTGCTCCTTGTCTTTTCTATCTCTGACTTTATGTCCTCTACAAGAGTTTGGTTTTTTTTGCTGGTTCTTCAAATGTTCAATAAAAACATGTATGCTAATTCATAACAAAGAAAGCTTTGTAATGAAGACTGTCATTTCCAAAACACTGCCCCCCTGCGGTCCGCAGCGCTGTTGAAAAGGCTGTGGAAGTCCCTGTATTAAACACGTAGTCCTGTGACACAAAAATCACCAAACTCGGACGACCACAGACTGTTTTCCTTCGTGGTGATGAAGGAAAACGCTGGGTTGGCATGTAAAAGGGCATTTATTCCCTTCAAAGACCTGCAGTTCAAAAAAAGCGCCCCTCGACAGCCAAACCCATCTGTTCTCTGATTGGATTGTTACATTTGTGATTGACATGACATTGACCAATCAGATGAAAGGAAGAAAAATAGGGTCAAAATCCGTACTTGTAACTTGCAGGGGTTTTTTTCTAAGTCCACACACAAATCTTTTTTACACACACAAATCTTTTTTTACGCACACACAAATCTTTTTTTACACACACACAAATCTTTTTTTACACACACACAAATCTTTTTTACACGCACATACAAATTTTTTTCACGCACATACAAATCTTTTTTTACACACACACAAATCTTTTTACACACACACACAAATCTTTTTTTACACACACACAAATCTTTTTTTTACACACACACAAATCTTTTTTTTACACACACACAAATCTTTTTTTACACACACACAAATCTTTTTTTACACACACACAAATCTTTTTTACGCACACAAATTCTTTTTACACATACAAAATATTTATGACCACATTTTGAGCCCATAATAAGGCGCACTGTCGAGTTTTGAGAAAATGAAAGGATTTTAGGCCGTGCAGCCCCTCCGGGCTGCATGTCGTTAGCGCGGTTAGCTCGCTAACACGTTGACGCCGTCCAGCCCCACGCACGGGGCTATCCGCGGTAACTCGCTAACGGAGATTTTCCGCTTTCATCTTGTCATTGCCTGCAGGTGAAGCTATGGGGAGGCGAGGCCGAGTAACGTTGCGTAGAGACAAAAGTGGATGAAAGAGAGGCAAACCTGCGGCTCCACACAACGTAACATAGACTATATCGATATAAACAATATTGTCACATCTTATATCTCGTATGAAAATATATCGATATTTAAAAAAAAAAAAAACTCGATGTATCGCCCAGCCCTATCACAGGGTACAGGAATGTTTTCATGTGATTCATCAGTGTGACTTGAATTGGTTCTTAGTTTCATGCACAAAAGGAATTGTATATTTGGTTCAACTGAAGCCTTCAGTGAGTTTTTAGGACAGCCCGGTAATGAATTACGATAGTCCAGACTAGAAGTAATAAACGTGTTAACTCATTTCTGAGACAGGAGGTTTCTAATTTTAGAGATATTGCACAAATGCAAGAAAGCAGTCCTACAGAGATGCTTAATACGCACACTGAAGGAAATATTGTGGTCAAAAATGACTCCAAGACTACACAGTGTTACTCGAGGCCAAGGTCACGCCATCTGACATATCTGGTTTGACATGATGTTTCTGAATTTTTTTTTTTTTAAGGGCCCAATACAAAAACCTCAGTTTTATCTGAATTTAGAAACAGGAAATTAGAGATCATCCAAGACTTTATGTCATCAACACGCCATTTCTGCAGTTTAAGTAATTGGTGTTTGTGATCTGGTCTGTCATTTGGATTTCATGGAACCCAAATGACACACCAATTACACACTAGAAACCAGAATGAATTTCATTACATTCTGTATATGTGCAAACATTAATATTTACATGGTAAACAGATATTTTAATAAATTTTCCATTTCTATGTCTTGTTACCAAGACGCTCCAAAAAATGTAAGTAGAGGTTTTCATTTTGGGAGGTACAGGTCTAACGATTCTCGTCTTATCTCGGTCCAGGTCCAGTGTTTGGCCCTGGCTCCGCCCTTCCTGACTATTTTTATCTGGAGACTACACCCTCAGTGGTTTCACAACTGCAGGGTGACACCATACCCCATGTGATTTTTGTTAAAATGAACACTTCTATAATGTAATTATTCTTTTTTCAATAGGTTTTTAAGCTGTTCTGAAAGTGGGTGCTGCAGCTGTGAAGACTTGATGCTATTGATGGCTGTGGACCTTACCTGGCTTGTCCCGGCAGGCTGCCGATGGGCTCTACTGCATCTGCACCATCTCTGCAGCAAAGAAGGCCACATAACAAGAGTGAGAAGATTTAAATGTACTGACCTAAACTTCTTCTGGTCAACCCCAAGTCATTTTAAGACTTACGTAACAAAGATTGGGTAGATAAGATTGTCAGGTCTTAAATCGGCAATGCAGGTCTGCCAGTATCTTAGGGTTGGGTGGAAGTAGCCACTGTGGAGGATTGATTCTGCAGGCGTCTGCATCTTTACACGGAAACAGGGAAACCATCAATGACAAAGATCCAAAATATTCCCTCTCTGTCACACATTTGCCCATCAGCTCGGTGACCGTTAACACTGATCAAGCATGCATGGAGTTGCTTCTTCAAACAGCAGCTCGGCTCAATCCAACTGCAGAGTCAACAACCCACAGCTGCCTCCGAAATGTTATCTTAATAGACTGAACCAGCTTTTCACCACAAGATCTTAGGGTTATGTTACGGTCTTGTAACTGCCATGCAGACTTGGCCTGACAGGACTACCTACAAGAAATGAGCCAATAATCCCTTTTTCATTACTCTTAATCGTTTTATTACATTTATTGTTATATATTCAAAAAAAATACATGTGTTCCTTTTGAATGTTTAATTCTTCTTAGTATATTTCTAACTTAACCTGAATTATAAGACCCCTCCTAAGCAGTAGGTCTGTAAATGGGGTCTAAAATGAAAAATTTGATTTTCCAAAATTATCGTCTTATAATAAGAGTACTATGAAGAAACTCCAGAATTTTGTTTCTTCAGATCATCTACTGATAAATTGTACCACAAAATATAAAATTATCATGTTTGCTCAATCAAAAATGTAAGTACAGGTTTTAATTTTGGGAGGTACAGGTCTTTTTGAAAGAAAGAAAGAAAGAGAAAGAAAGAAAGAAAGAAAGCTGATATTGATATATGAAGCTAAAATTTCACAGCAAGTATTATTTATGTGCAAACTTTGGACCACAAAATTTTAGGAAAATCTAGGATGTAAAAATGTAATGATTTCAGAAAGAATAACTCCACAGTAGGAAGCGCATAGTGGCATCTTAACACAGTTACTAAATATTTTCTAACCTTGTTTATGATCAAAGTGAGAACCGCAAAGGCCAAAAAACACTTTAAATGAGACGTCATTCTTCTCTGAACTTTAATTCAAGCTTTTCATTGAGCAGGTACTCTTCTTCACGTTTAGTTAGAAAATATAGTTTTTACTGACTGGGGAACTACAGAAATCATCGCTAACCGCAGCTAATGTCATAAATATATTATAGTTGTTTTAAAAGACATGAAAAAAGAGCAGACGTTAAAATACACCAATAAACTCACCTCTCAAGACAACAGCTTCTCACTTCTCCGTACTGAAGTCGACTGACATTGTGTCCTTCTTCGGTGGTGTCGATTTTAGTTTTATGCTATCGCCACCTATCGACTGCAGTTCTGCTTGTAATAAGGTTGTCTAATATAATTATACTTTTAATTTTTTAGAAAAAAAATAATACAAATAATTGCTATTCATGTATCTGTAACAGTTTGATATATCTTTGGGCATTTTTCAACAATATATAAATAAACGCAAAAAAACCCAAAACAAATTATCCTTTAAGGGCCACCGTATCAGCCTGTGGGGTGGGGGTAGTGTTCTCGCGATATCTCTCAGCAGCAAGAAAATAGCAGAAGGTACAATGCTAACAGCTTGTTAGCCTCGGTGATTTCTAAAATTTCAGACATCTAGTGTGATGAAGAAGAAGACTCGCATTTGTTTCTAAGGTAAATAAAAGTGTTATACTGAAACACGTCTTGTGTATGTAAACAAGCGCACTGTTAGTAATTAGAAGCTCAGTATAATTTCTAGCTAACTGGCTATTAGCTTAAATTGAAGCTATCTTCGTGATTGCCGCTGGATTCTCTGTATTAAACACTATTTTTTGCAGTTACTCTCGCGTCAGACGTGTTTACCTCACTCAGAGCGGTAGGGCTGAGATTAATAAGAATAGTTATGGAGCTGTCAAGGTCTGGAAATCAGGAGGGAGTGGACGTCAGTGACGTTTAATCAAAAGCCTTGTATCTACAAAATATGGGTGTTTTTGGGGGCCCTGAGCATTCAAAAAAGACTACGAGTAAACAATAAAGTGTAATAAAAATCATGTACACTTTTAAAAAATATATTTAAAACACATTGTAAAATCAATAAATGACAATAAAACAATGCATACACAAATAATAGTTTAAAAAGAAAATCATATGTTATTAACGCTACTATTGCTGAATAATCATAATTACACATTTTTAAAAATATGAGTGTGTGTGTGCGTGGAGGATAAATAAGTAAAAGTTCCAAAATAATACAAATCTGCTTGTTCAACTGTGCTGGGTGATCCTGTTATCAGTTTTGATGAGTGAAGCACAGTATGTTTTGAAATACACAAAAGGGTTTATTTCTGATAAATTCATTCAGGGATATATTGCAATGAAGCTACATGGAAATACAAAGCATGTATACAGAGAGAGAAGTATTTTGGAAGAGTCAGTATTTGGTGTGACCACCTTTATTCTTCAACACACTCTGAACTCTCTTAAGCATGTTTCTTTAAGTGCAACTACAGTACTGTGCAAAAATCTCGAGCTACCCCTCATTTCTTTACATTTTAAAATGCACCAGTTAATTGAAAAATGTGCAAACACAAATGGAAATACGGTGTGTATATTAGGCAGCAAGTAATGTATGCATCAAATGAAGGGCCAAATGTGTCAGGCCTTTGGTTAAAAATTTCCTCTTAAGGGAATTACTTACAGATACTGTTTATCTGCTGTAGATCGCTTTTTAGGCCTACGACGGCTTCACTTATCCAGATTTCTTTCAATTTTTTTTTTTTTATTATTAAAAGGACACACTGCACAGGAAGCCAAGATTTGCCAGGTTTTTGGATAATTTGGGAATCAACTTGTGGGTCCCAAAATACAATTTTGAACTTGTCAAATTTTGTGTTGTTGTCGGGTCTTGTTTTGTTTTTGTTTGTTTTTTTGAAAGATGAAAGTTAAAATTCTTATTTTAACTTATGTGTAGGCTCACCGGTTCATCCTTAGTTAGGATTAGGTGAGGTTAGGTCAGTGTATGAGTGGCTTATCATTAAAACAAAAAGCATTCCTCTGAAAATGACCAGGTACAAGATTTGAAAATGGAAAAAGCAACCAATATCCAAATGAAAACTTTGAAAGACCTGGAGTGGTGTTGCTCTTGACCACTAGAAGAAAATGACATCCTTAAAACAAAATATAAAGGATTGAGGGGTGGCTCTAGACTTTTGCACAGTACTATATGTCTGTAACAAATTAAAAACTGTGCCAACACTGTGGCTAAGAGTTGAAATTGTGTAGTTTAGTCTGTAAAATGTAAACAAATGTTTAAAAATAAGGTGGTAAACTAATTTAATGACAAAGCTATGATCATCATTAGCTTTTTCACTTTTATTGTCGTTCCCAGGGTGGATCTGAAGATGTAGCCTACAGTGTGCCACCTCTCCACCACCTAACCACTCCTGCCCTGGGATAATCAGCCCTCTGCCACCCTCACCCTGGAGTACTTTGACCTGCATCCAGGGCTGCCCTGTGTGTGACTTGGCCATCCACAGTCACTCCGTCCCCAACGTCCTTCGCCATGCTGTTCTCTCTTAGAGAGCTGGTCCAGTGGCTGGGCTTCGCGACCTTTGAACTCTTCCTCCACCTGCTGGCTCTGATGGTCTTCAGCATGTTGGTCGCCCTGCAAGTCGATGAGTTCACCGGGCTAAGCTGGTGGCTGGTGTTCGTCCCACTGTTTGCTGCAGACGGCCTCAGCACATACTTCACTGCCATCGTGTCCATCCGGCTTTACCAGGATAACGAGAAGCGCCTGGCGGTGCTGCGGCTCCTCTGGGTCCTAACGGTGCTCAGCCTGAAGCTGGTGTGTGAAGTTCTGCTGTGCCAGAAGCTGGCCCAGCAGGAGCAAGCCAAAGACCTGTGGTTCGGCCTCATCGTCTCGCCGCTTTTCATCCTCCTGCAGCTGCTCATGATACGAGCATGCCGTGTCAACTGAGGAGGAGCTGAAGTGTTTCATCTAACTGACAACATAGAAGCAGAAAGCAGCTTTGGGTACATCCACACTAATAGGTTTGCATTTTAAAAGGTTCTCACTACTCCAGCATTTAAAGACCCCTAAACTATGCGAGACTGCCCTCGTATATTTTATCCCTTCCTGCGTACAAAACATTAAATACAACTAACATGTGTTGAATAGCCTATTAAAATAGATACATTATAATGAGACAAAAAAAGAAGAAATCCACAAGACCAGCACAGTTAATAAAAAAGTGAAATAAAATCTAAAAGCCCAGCGAATAACATCGAATACAATTAGCATAGAAATGAGAGGGGAATGAAATCCAGAAAATAAATACGGAGTACACGGGATAAAGACTTCAGGATGATATTGTTGGGGCAAAGTCCTCTGCTGCCTGTATGTCAAGATTTTGTGTTGTAGTCTGGACGGGCAGAAACCGAAACTTCTGAAAGTGCTGATGCAGACGCTAACATTTCTCATAGGGCCACAAAAAGGAAGTGAGAACACTGTAGCTCGACTTGGAAACCATTTATGATTGCATTCTTTATGTTTGTGAAAAGTATGACTTAATTTTTAGCCGTTGCTAAGGCTTCCTCATATGTTTCACTTTATCACAAATCCCACAAGTTACTTTCAACATCAGTTCTACCCACAGGAAAAAAACATATAAAAGATGAATGTAGCTTCTGGGTCTTAAAAAAACAAAAAAAGTGAAGCTAGTGCTAAAGTGCCTTAAATCTGCCACCAGGGGGCAATTCCTTTTGGTTTCAAAATGACTTCTAATTATATAAAAGCCTGTGGGAACACATCACTTGACTCCCTTGCCCTGTGACGCATGCATTTATTTGTTAAATTGGTAGTTACAGGTCTTAATAAATAAAACATAAAGGTAATTTTCTAATCTTTGGTCATTATTGGGTCAGAAATGTGTTAACCAGTGAGCTTGTGGCATTCCTGTTTCTCAGTCAGATCCAAACTTCTTAAAACGCAAGTATTGTGACAGACCTCAAAGCATAATAACAGAACTTCACTAACCAACAGGTGAAGTCACAGTGGCTACATCTATCTTTTATAGACAGTTTATGCTTCCACTTTGTTGTGAGTCCAAGTAAACAAGCCTGTCTTTGCGCTCTGTCACTGCTGTTCTTCCCCCATAGTCTTTTGCATAAGATTTGTTTCATCTTTTCACTGGCTCAAGCACACACATTAGTTCTTAGTCTTCACCATTAAGAAAAATCCCTATTTCCATTAAAAATAAATACTAATAATAATAATAAAAATCGTATCATCTCATTAATCTCCCGTTGTTGTCCAGACTGCACAAGTGAAACATGTTGGTTTGGACATGGACATTTTCTGGTTTAAAATACAAACATGTTAGTGTGGGTGTAGCCTTCATCTGCCATTAGAGATTTTAAAGCATAACCATTTTTCATTTTTATTTTTGTTTTCTTTGGTTCATTGGCACCTTCCCCCCCCCCCCCCCCCCCCCAAAAAAAAAAAAAGAACGTTTCACATTTCAGGAAACACGCAGTTAATTTCTAATTGCTTTAACATGCATAATAAGGTTTTGTGATACATTTGAAAGAGCTTGTATTTGGACCATAGTGGCACATCTGCACTGATCAGTCAGTGGTAGAAAATTTACTCCAGAGGTATCGCTCTAATGCACTGTGCACTCAATGTTAAAGCAGCAAAGCCCCAGGTAACCTTTTTGAGCAACTTTCATGACGTTGCTGCAGCTTTATTGATTGCTGTTTCCCTACTTGGACTGAGAAACTGCTTGCCAGCAAAAATGTGTTTAGGATTTTAATCTGACTATGTCGTGTGTGTTCATCAAACTCCATCACAGAGAAGTGGTTTGGACTTGGTAAAAAGCTGGATGTGAAAACTGTCGGGACTCAGAGGGGATTGTTTTACACATCATCCCTAAAAAAACAAACAAACTGCTGTTTACTTTGACAACATGTAATGTGTTTAGTCTATTTTGAGTCCTTTGCTGTCTGTGTAGTGCATCTATTTAAGGCCTCACTTTAGGGTAAATCCTGATGTGAAATTCTGTGTATATGTTGATTTTTTTTTTCTTTTTAAAAAAAATAAATTAAAATGTTATTTATGTTCATTTTTTTCTGTGCCACCTTTTTATTGTCATCTGTATATACATGTAAATAAAATAACATTTAATGGTTGTCCATTAAATGTTTTGAGTCTGTTCTCTCTGTCCACAATGGGGCGCTAGTTCGTGGGGTAAAAGACTAAACATTTATGTCACCGCATAATTAAGTCAAATGCAGCCATTTTTTTCTGCATATAGAAATCAAACAAGTATGACTTTTGTTTTTTCTTAAGCAGTTTTAATAATTGGGACTTCATCTACCTAACCATGGCACTGTTAACACTGACCTACATCGTAGGATATGTTTGTACATCATCCATTTTCTTCTCATTCAGGGCCTCAGGGTGCCTATCCCAGCTATGACAGGGTACAGGGTCACTAATCAAGCTAATTCTCCATCAGATGCTTTTGGACTTAGAGCACAGAAAACCTGCTCAAGCACAGGGAGAACCCAGCCTGGAACCCATCCTTAAAGCAAACATCACATCTTTAGTGCTCTGTAGTGTAATGTGTATTCTAATGTTTAAAATTATTTCTATTAGATTTGATGATAACAATATGGGAAGCTTCTCTACAGGTGAACAAAAGCATAATATCCGGCTGCATACCAGTTCGGTGTGGTGTTCCTGATTAAAGCTGGAACTGTTTCCAGAATGGTCTCTGCAAATTATAGAAAATCTCTTTCTGAAGCTGATCTGCAGAACAATGTGGAAAAATTCCTGGTTTGCAGATTTTCCAAGTTTAAAATGTATATACATTTAAAAATAATTAAAGGAACGTATTTATGGCTGCATACGCTTGATATACTTTACATTTTAAAATAAAGATAAATAAAATACCAAATATTATGAAGGTTTTATGTCCTTCTTTTGTTTAGTTTTTTCTCTGCATCTTTCGGTCCTGCTTCAAAGGGGAAATAAGGCACACTCTTCGCCCTCTTCAGCCCTGCTCTTCTTAATTATTGCCCCGCGATGAATGTTTTATGAGCTACAGTAATCTCTTGTAGTACCCAAGAATAGCCCTCTTAGTGCTGATTCATGTGCAGCAGACTCTTTCCCAGCTCATCTGATCGCTGCACGCGGATTATCGACAGGTGGTATCACCGGCAAATGCTGAATGAACCGAGGTTAAGTGTATTTAACACTCCGACATCGCAACCAAAACCATTTAGAATAACCTGATTCCTATCCAGTGAGACTGGGGATAAAAACTGTGGAAAAACCACAAAAAGAATTATTTTGAACACTACTGGGACATAATAGGTGGTAAAGTTTAAGAAATGTTCCCCATTTAGTAAATACAACAAAGGTAAATTAGGGTTTTAATTCAATTTTAACAACAATAATAATGTGTAGTGGTTATAATTCTACTGTGTTATGTAAACGACATTTTTGTTGTGATTAACTACAAATTAAACAGCGTTTTTGTAATTAAACAGCAACAAAATTTATATTTAATCACATATTGTAAAAATATCTTGAACTTGAACGCAGCACTTTTGATTGGCAGGCCTAATTTGCTCCGTCAACAATAGAAACGGGAGGGAGGGGGCGTGCCCAGAGCACACAGATACCAATCACAGACGCTCGGGCTGCCGCTGAGGGGGCGGAGCCGCGTTCAGGGTCCTTTGGGGAGAAAGGGAGCCAGACAGTGTGACAGCAGAGGGAGAGGAGAGAGAGAAGAAAAAAGGGATGTGTGTGAGTGTGCGGTGATCGGTGCTGCAGGTACAGTCACAGCCGGAGATACAGCTTCAAGAGCCGCACCGGACCGCGGCAAGACCGCCTCGGAGCCTGCCTGCCTCTCTCTCTCCTCCTCATTTCTTCCAGTAACAACCCTCCGCGATGTCTGGCGGAGGAGAGGTTCGCGTCCTCCGCCAAGAGGGCGGCCAAGAGAGCCCGAGGATGCCGGCCTGGAAGCGAGAAATCCTGGAGAGGAGGAAGGCGAAAGGCGGCGGCGGGGCTGGGGGAACCGGTGCTCCGGAGGCTAGCCCCGGGGGAGCGGGCCCGCAGCGGGTAAACGGCGAACTAACGGGGAATGTGAACGGAGGAGGTGGTGGCGCGACCGGGCGGAACTACACCATCACCCCGGCCACCCAGCACTTCTCCCACAACAAAGAGCCACAAGCGACGGCCGCGGCGACACCGAGGGAGGAGGGCAGACACGAGAGTCTGGTGCTGCAGGAGAGCCTGGGGCCGCTGGAGGAGAACCCGTTCATCAAGCTGGAGAAGGAGCGGAGGAGGCGGCAGGAGCAAGAAAACGCCACCCGCCCGGTCCAGCACATCCTGGAGCTGTACGGCAGTGTCCCCGGCATACGGACTATCCGAGCGGAGAACATCATCATCATCGAGTCGGACCCGGATTACTTTGCGGAAGGTGGAGGCGTGAAAAGCGAGTGCCAATGGCAGCAGAACGGTGTGAGTAGTTACAGCTCTCTAAACGACCTTCTGGACCGCAGAGGGAGTGCTGTTACCGAGATAAGAGCCAAGGAAGTCGTCATTTATGACACCACGTTAAGCAAGAGCGAGGAGAACCTGAGCACCCTGGGCCGTCCTGATCAGGAGGTCCCCTATAATACAGGTGACGGTCAAGGTAGGGTCAGCCGGATCCTCCAGAAGTTTGACAGCAACTATGGGAAGCTGCAGAAGAAGTCCCACAGCACAGAGAACCTCCTGGACCTGGATTGTAGTGCCAGCAGTAGGCCAAGACTCTGGCCCAAGACGCAGCCAGATCTGGTGCCAAAGCCCAGGCCGGGTCCACGGGTCAGCAGCCTGGGCAGTAGCCAGCCATCTTCGCCTGTCTTCCAGGGTCCCTGGTCTTCCAAACCAAAGCCACAGCCTGCCGTCTCTGGGCCGGGCAGCCCCCAGCGTTCACAGCCCGTGTCTTCCTTCCGTCAGCGCTTTGAGGAGAGTGGAGTCCACCACAGCGCAGCCGTCACCCCCAGAGACGAGCCGGACAGGGGGACAAACAAGCCCACCAGGGAGAGAGACTGGGAGGCCGCTGAGGTGCCCCCCAAACCTAAGGTGCCATGCTCTCCGGAGACCCGCCGTGCCCGTGCCGAGGCCCCTTTGAGCCCTGTCTCATCCAAGGTGACCTGCTCCTCACACGAGTTTGAAATCCGTCCCGCTCCAAAGCCAGACCTCGCCCAGATTCCTGATGGCGACACCCAAGCACGGGCCCTCGCAAACCTTCGCCTCCAGTCCCGAAACTCCTTCACAGTGATCCCCAAGCGCCATTTGGCTGCCTCATCTTCAACAAGCAGCCCCATGGTGACACCTGGCCCCATCAAGTCCTCCCCCTCACACAGAGCAGCAGAGGTGTCCAAACCTGGAGTGCCAACCTCCCCCACCCTGTTAAAGAGGAAAGAGGAGGAGGAGAAGGAGGTGGAGAGGCCATCCAAACCTGAACCATCTCCTCTCACTGTTGCCACAAGTCCTGCTCCTTCTCTCTCTGAACCTTTATCTCCATCCCCTGCTCCCACTTCTCCGCCTGTCCTCTCTTCACCCCCCTCTTCTCCAGCTATCCCATCTTCACCTCCCTTCTCTCCCACCCAGTCAGTCTCTTCTCCAGTGCAACCTCCAGTGGATCAGCTGCCAGTAACAAACATTGACGACATCGAGGTGGAGCCCCCACCCCAGCGTGTCCCTGTTCCGAGCCCCTTGGTGCAGAGGAAAAAGGGGAACACATTCACTGTGGTGCCTAAACGTCGGGTGGAGTCTGACGCCCAGCTGAGCCCACCTGAGCCCCAGCAGGAAGCCCCGAGTGAAGCCCCTCCGGGGTCAACCCCTCCCCAGGCCCCCTACGCCCAGCTGGGTTCCCTGTTGAAGAAGCGCTACCCTGCTGTGGAGGAGATTGAAGTCATCGGCGGGTACCTCTCCCTTGCGAAGTCCTGCCTCTCCAAGACTGGCTCCACGGGCAAAAAGGTGAGATGAAACAATATATTTAATTATTTTTGTGGCTTGTTAAATGTGAATATTTGGTGATTTATAGCACTTTAACACTACACGATGCATTACAACAGGCCTGGGTACATGCATGCAAAAAGCAAGCAAATATGGGCTATTTATGAGCACATGGCCTTACACATGAATGCTTTACTTCATTACAATGATGCCGTGCTTGACACTGTGCAAACAACTGAGACAGTAACCTCTCTGCGAGACCATCAAATCATGGCCTCTGTTGCTGACACATGCAAGACAGATGTTTAATCAGCTGCAACCTGCCAAAAGTGTATATGAGCATACAGTTAAGTGCACAAATATTTGCATGGTGTAATTATGCAGCATTGTGGTGGATTTTTGGTTTATTTTGCTTTTTCAGCCTGTATCACTTGCATCCACATCTCTGTGGACCTCACATTTAG